CTCCAGTCTTTGGGTCTCCAGTTTATATGTGGCTTAAAGTTACTTTCAGAACCTTGACTTGAATCAGCAACTGAACTAAAGGAGAAATCTCAAGAGATGTGGCCTCACCAATTAGCATTCTTTCTCAGCTTCAAACTCTTCAACTTAGAACATGAAAACTTTCTGTACACTGGGTAGATATCAGTCGAAGCCAGAAACGCCTTTAGGTCCCCTTTTCTTTCCTTTCTTTTCTCCCTTGCAGCTTAACTGTCACTTTCACAGCTGTCTTACTCAGTGCAGTAGCCATAAAGACAAGGTCTCTTAGAGATAACGGAGTTCAGGCTCTCTCTCTCCCCAAGGTGTTCGTTAGCAATTAAGCTATGTTGAAATGCTGCCCACGTGAAAGTTTTGCCATTCTTAAACCTGTTTTGATTCCCGAAGGGGTACAAATCAGCTGGTAGAGATGTTTTGTTTTAAATTGAGGTCACGTTTGTTTATAACATTATATAAATTTCAGGTGTACACCATTCTATTTTGACTTTTGTGTAGACTTCGTCGTGTTCACCACCAAAAGTCTAGTTTCCATCTGCCACCATACATATGTGCCCTCGTTCCCCTTTTGCACTTCCCCTCCCCACCCCTCCCCTCTGGTAACCGCCAATCTGTCCTCTGTGTCTATGTATTTATCTGCCATATTTGAGTGAAATCATATGGTATTTGGCTTTCTCCATCTGACTTAGTCTGCTTAGCGGAGTACCCTCGAGTTTCGTCCCTGTTGTCACAAATGGCCAGATTCTTCTTTTTTTATGGCTGAGTAGTAGTCCATTGATATGAGTGTTAAGGAAACTCAGGCTAATTACCATTTTTGGTGGAATCGCAGGAGTTGAAAAAAAAAGCATTTGAATATATACACACTTTTTGAGAAATGTTATTAGATAGAACAATAAATACAAATCCTAAGCAGTTACTCTGGTAAGAACAGCAAAAACATCCACTGGGAATGTTTTGGAGCTAGAAAGCATGATAGAGAATTACAGCTCCATAAGGATAAAGGATAAAGCCATTATTTGTTTTTATTAATTATGGGCTAATTTCCATTGTTCTCATTGATGGCAGAAATGGAAGGGGGATAAGAGGTAAACACAAGTGTGACAAGCTCAAAGCATATCAGTATTTCATTTGGGTGATCTTTATTTGGTTGGTTACCTCGTAATTATAGCTACAGGTTCACTGTCCTTAAAGGTATTTATTAAGCACTTAGAGTTAAGGATTGTGCTATATGATGTGCATTTAAGATTTATCAAACAAGAAGAGGCCATACCATCTCGAAATTACTAGTTATCTGGTAATAAAACAATGTAGTGTTATCATTATACCAGCTATGGAAGCTTGCGAGAGTATGAGGTATTATTGGATTACCATTGGAGCGTTAGGGAAGCCGTCTATTCACATTAAATACTAAGGGGACTACACCAAGTTCTTATTGCTCTTGACCATGACCTTGCCAAAGAGATGCCAGAACAGAAAGGCCATTTTAATCCACTTAAATTCCCCAGTTTGCTAAAGAGAATCTTTTCTTCTTCTAAGCAAAATGGGAAGATCATAACACATTCAACTATAAATGATAAATTTTGATTACTCAGTTGAAGAGGTAAGAGTTAATGCTTTCTTCGATGACTCCCTTTTATAGAAGAAGCCTAAGCTTAATTCTAAGTTAACCCAAAGCATTATTCAAATTTCATCTCAGTAGAAGGTTTGTATAGAATACAACAAGCAACTTATTTTTATTATAGCGTTTATACTTAAACAAGTATCAATTTCCATTATTGACTGCCTGTGACCCAATTATGGCCTAGACAGTTAATTTATGTTTTCCTACCTGCTTGATCACAGCCATGACAATTTTTCGTAATTTTGACAATGTGCAGTATGTAGCTATGTGACCATGAGCAACTAATGTCATCAGCAGCCGCCGCGCCCCCCCCCCCCCCCCCGACATTCCCTCTTCTGTAGAACAAGAAAATTGGGCTCCATCTATAAGGTCTCTTGCAGTTCTCAAGTTCTTCGTGTCCACATTGATTGACTTGGTTGACGTAGCTGTGGAATTGAAGGTTTGTAAAGAGATCTTAAGAAAACATATGGAAAAGAGAATGGTTCCTGCTAGGAAGTTAGCAGTGCATTAGGACTAATTCTCATAACTGAGGAAATTAGAGAAAAAAATACAGAGGGAGGATTTTTATTCTTTTCTTGGTTCTTCGAGGTACGTTATTTTTCCCTTAATGGCTAAAATGATAAGGTCATATAAAAACATCCATTTAACTTGGTCCATAATTGCAAGTAATACAATTAATCTAACCATAACCAAAAATCTGAATTAGATTGAATGAGCAAGAAAAAGAATGATGAATAATTTTAAGGAGAAGTTTTCCGTGGCACATAGAGTTCCTTTGTATTCTCCAGGAGGTGAAGAAGGTGTGGATCAAAGTGTCCCACCCCAGAAAGTGTCACAGCTGAAACGTGAAGGCCTGGAGATTCCTCTAGTTCAACAGTGTGCTCTTGAGTTACACAAGAACTATGCAATTCGGTAGGAGGGCTGAAGGAATTCTCATATGCTTATAAGATTACACATCAGGTGCACCCTTTTTTCTCCCGAAAGTTTACCACAGGAAAACGGGGAAATCTGAGGCTACTCAAACTCTAAGCCTGGTTGCTTATCCATAAAATGAAGATAATGCTTTGCCTACTTCAGAGGTGAATAGGAGGATTAGAGGAGAAAGCTTGTTAGCCCTACTTCCACCCACTGGAATCACTTCCTAAATCATACCGAATATTGTCGCTTACCACTACCTTTATAATTTAGAAAAGAATATATACTACTTCATATTACTATTGCCGACATTAACTTGACAGACTTTTGTTTTTCTTTAGTGAATGCTTGCTGACATGAGTGTAAATGCAGATAGTGATTCTGACTCAAAGTAACTTAACGCCATACGCTCGCAAAACACAAAAGAGAAGTAAGGCAATATATATGGTTATGGCCAAAAGTACTTTCTTCTTGAAGTGTTCAATAGTTACTTTCCATAAAATTGTCTCACTTCTCCAGTTCTCTTTGAAGTATAGAAATAGTCTGTTTCTTTCTGGAGGAAGAAAGTGGATCATATGTTTTTCTGAATGTTTTCTTCTTTACTTCTTAATATATTGCTGGGAAGGTACAACTGTTCATTCACTGAGTTACTGTTTGCTGAGCACCTATGTACACAGGGGTATAATTCTTTCTCCCTATCAGAAAATTTGATGTGACAAGACCACGATCATTCAACAAGTATTTATTAAGCATTTAACTGTGTGCCAGCTCTTGTGTTTAAGGAGGAGTTTGCAAACCTCAGTGGAAGTGGTTTATTCCACCCTTATTTATGGGTTGATTTCTGGAATCACTGCTTTATTGGTGGTGTTCGCCAAGCAGGTCTTTTGCATTCACTGAAGTAGGAGTGTGGCTTGTGTAAATAATAAGATCCCTTGTGAGTCAGCAAGCCATGTCAGAAGTCAGAGGAAAAAATATGAAGCATTCTACAAACATGCCCTTTAGGTTAATGCATTTTGCTTTTTGTATTGTCTTATAACTTTTCAACCCTTTCCCTTTTAATCTAATTGAATGAGGAATACCCATTTTAAGAGACACGTTGCTTTTTTAGGAAGTATGCTCAGATGTTTAAGTTATTTACAAGGCCTCTGATACTTTCTGTTGAATCATAGTTCTATACAAGCTTGTTGTTCGTGTTCTCGTTGGCACTATCAGTACTACTGTTCACTTCTCCTTGGTACAGTGGTAAACCAGCATGACCTAGAGATTGCTTATACATTTCCAACTAAGCCTGACAACCAAAAAGAGAAAGAGAATAATGAGCCTCTGTGTTCCATCATGCCTTTTGTTAATCTTGTTTCATCTTTCCGCCCTTAATATTGCTTTGGCTTTGTTTGTTTCCTGGGATACTGTAAAGCAAATCCAAGACATGTAATTTCACCTGTAAATATTAACTGATAAGTACTTTTAAAATTGTGACTAATAACTTTCTGATCTTATTAAAAATGTCCTTTTACAATTGGTTCATTCAAATAAGGACCGAAAAAAGTTCTACATATTATATTTGATTGTTATATCCCTCAAGTGGCTTTTTAATCTAGAACAGTCTCAGATGTTGATTCAATACTACCGACCTGTTGAAGAAATAAGTTCATGTGTCCTACAGAAGGACCCACAGTTTGAATTTATCCTCTATATTTCCTATAAACCGGTAATAAAATCAGATTTTGCTTAGATTCAAGTTCAAGGTTTTAGGCAAGTACACTTAGATAGTTCTGTGTTCTTCCCTTTGCCTTGGATAATGTCTGCCAATTATGCCTATTATTAGCGATACTATTGAAACTTCATTCCTGCTTCTTTGGTGGAGAAGATTTCAGGAATCCATATTGGGGGTGTCCCAAGTCATGTTGATTTTAGTGTTTTAAATCATCAGGTCTTTCTCCAAAATCATCCGTTAGTATCATTGACCTATTAGGAAGATGCAGTTTTAAATGGCTTTCTTGTCCCAAGATACAACCTTCTCACCAAGCATTTTATTTCCGATAGAAATAATTCTCTTAAAAAATCTATCTAGACTGTCCACCAAACTCTGAAAAATAGCTAATGTTCTCAGGGAAAAGCTTTCTTTTTGCACCTCAATGCCACATTGTTGAAATCTTGAGTCATACAGCCTGAAAAGAAAGTGTATCTATTCTGACACGTGTTGTTTAATCTGGGTGACCTAGCCTGTCAAGGCAGATTCCAACAGCACGCCACGTCCTCACAGGGACCCAACGTTCTCTCTTCAGGGAAGGGGGCACATTCCCCAGAACGTGTTTTCAGTGCTAACAAAAGGGGACTGGTATAAAAGTTGATGAATAATGAATAAATATAAATTTCTAATAAACTGCTTAAAGTTGTTTATCTGACCAGATTTTGTTTCTGTGTTTGTTCACAGGAAGAAATCTTTCCTGTTCTCCGCCCTGTACGCTGCCTTCATCTTTGGTGGTCGGCACCTAATGAACAAGCGGGCCAAGTTTGAGCTGAGGACGCCGTTAGTGCTCTGGTCTCTGACCCTTGCTGTCTTCAGGTAGGTTTTCTTTCATTTTCCTAATACTGTCCGTCCTTTTCATCAGAACTGGCTGAAAGAAGCAACAATTGAACATTTTCTGTTTACATCACGTATTTTTGATTATTGAGGACATAAAATAAAGCCGTGTCCAGAGAGAAAGCCAACCTGATGTGCCACATTATACTCTGTCTCTTATTTGGAGAGCGTTCAGGCCATCTCCTTTCTTGTCCAAACTGCTCATGCAGTAATCCACTTTGTCTCTGAGGACTACAAGCAATGTGTCAGTTTCATTATTTTTGTTTCATAAATATAGATGAAGGGCTAAGTGGAAAGCCGCACCAGGAAACTGTTGAAATCTGTGGTGGAGTAGGGTTGAAATGGGATGGGCATGCTGTTACTGACTGATACTTAATCAAAAAGCGGCACTCAAGCATATGACCCAGTACTGGACACCTGTCTGTGTCAGTGTCACTAGACCAGAGAACGCTTTTGTTCTGCGTCCCCAGAAGCACCCTCCACCGCACTGCCTGAGCTGATGGCGGGTGTGTTTATGCAGCCAGCTCTTGCTTTTTGTATCGGGTAGAACTTGTCCTAGAGGCTGTTGGGACCAGGTCTGGTCTCTTCAGGGCCATCTGCCAGCCAACATTCAGACACGTTCCTGGAAGCTTCAAGGAGCATTTTTAGTTTTGTAATTTTTGGTGATCTAGGCAATCACAAGACTAATTAGCACACAGCTGGTGTCAAAACGGGTGCCAGAATTTACCTACGGCGCCAACAAAGCCACCTGTTCTTTCTGTGTTTTGCTTATCAAAACCAGCAAGTTTATAACGAGGCTTGGGATGAGGGGGGTGGAGGGAACAGATGTAGATACACCACAAAATAAAAATCTATTCATTTTAGTAGTGTTTAAGAATATTTATTTTTATTTTTTCACATTATATATCAACGGTTCTACCATGAAGCAGAAATCGATGGCATCATTAAAAGCCTCACCAGTCACTTAAGGCTGATTAAAGATGATCAGGCAGGAAAGGACTTTCAACAACTCTGATGCCCTGTACGTTTCCATTATGTCAGGTCCCTGCATCTAAACACTCACCTCCTTGCTGCTGCTGACCGTAGTCGACCCAGATTTCGGTGCACTTTGTAAGGTGCTGTGTTTGAGGTGCTCATGATTTGGGTCCGTCACTAAAGACCTCTGCCATTCCAATCTGTATCAGGGCGTGATTCTCTGGAATACAAAGTAGCATTTTCATTTTTATGTAAATTTGAGATTCACAGAGTATGCCTTGACCAAGTATTTTGATATTTGAGGGAAAAAATTATCTTCAGTCTAATGATGCCTTTCACCATTTTATAGAGTTTTTTAACATCCCCTAAGCCTTTATCTTTTGTTTTTTAAAATTTTAATACACATAAGCAGAGAGCAGAGCACAAGGACCCCCATGCACCCATTACCTTGCTTAAACAATTAGCAACACTGGGTTAATCTTCCTTCATCCACATCCCTACCAGCTTCCCCCTTCCCGCATATTATTTGGAAACAATACAAACTGAAATATTTCTGAATGAAATGCCATTTCTAAAAGTTAAGTACTCATTTTTAAAAACTGACCAAAGGATCATTATCTCATCTAAATTAGAAATAATTCTTTATTCTTAAGTGTTAAGATTTCCCCAATTGTCTCATAAATGATTTTTTTTTTTTTTACAATTTATTTTTAAGAATCTAGATCAAAACAAGATCCATACATTTTTCTTGGTTGATTTAACTTAAAGTTTCCACCTTCCTCTCCCTGTGTCCCTCCCCCAACCCCATCCATCCTTTGAAGAAACCAGATCATTTGCCTCTTAGAGTTTTGCCTAGGGTGGATTTGGCTGACTGCATTCTTCTGGCCCCTGCATCCTTATCTTTGGCAGTTAGATCTAGAAGTTCGGTTATACTCAGGTTTAACATTTGACAAGAATGTCTGTAAGAAGGAACTTGCCTTCACCAACTATTCAGTTATCCCAAAGTATGCATAGTTATTACAGCAAAGGCAGGATAAATGCTGGACTCCGGTCATATTTAGCGGTTTCAAAAAAGAAACTGTATTCAATTACATAGCATGTGAATAATAACATTTTTTTCTTGAGTATCATTATGAACTCATGGAATTATACTTTATGTGTCAATGATTTTGAGATGAATTTGATTTTGATATATTTTAGTCCGTTGCTATTATTCTTTTTTGATGCTGAATTGTCCCGTCTTTGGCCAGTGGGAGGCTGACATTGGCCCCCGAAACCTTTTCACATGCCCTGAGCGTTGTTTATGGCTTGATTTTGGTTGCCAGGTGAGGGATGACAAGATGATTCAAGGCCAGGTGTGTGGTATATTCCTTGTCTAAAACTGGGATCAGCTATTTCTCCAAGGATCTGTAGTTTCTTTGGAGGAGGGGAGATGGTGTTTAGAAACCACTGTCTGAGTACTAGAGGTGGGTGTGGGTGCCAAGGTACTTCTTATTTCCAGGGCTTTCTGAGACCAGAAATAGAAAAATTTTTTTTTTTTTAAAGAAATATATCTGAGTTAGTACTGATCCTTCTAGTTCATATTTACGACTAGAGAGTTTTTACTTCATTAACTTCTTATTTCTCCTTCTTCCCATGCCAGAATCGAAGTTCCCGATGTCAGCCAGTAATTACTCATTTACTTTATCCTACAATGCATATGCCATAGTCAGCAATACTTTATCTTTTTTAGATTGACAAGTTCTTCTTGTTTTCTCTTCCGTTTCCTTAATTCTGTTACTTTACTTCCTTCAGAGCTATATTTTGTATAAAATTTTAAAAACCAGAACTATGTAGAGGAGTCCAAACATGGACAGGTTAGAGTCTTGTAAAAATTGACCATAATATTCTAATCAGGAATCTGGAAAACATTGATAATGGAATTCTGTGGTTGTATTAACTGAATATGGTTCCACATTAGGAAGAGTATATTGAGGTTCCTCTATGTGTAAAGAACTCTGATTGACAATGCATTGAATGAAAAAGGCTAATTACAGAATGATATTTTTTATATAGTGTTTATGTAAATTTTACTCCTAGACACAAAACATCTATATGTTGTTGATTAATACATTTAAGCATTTGTAAAAGTATCTAAAAAGGTACTAGAAGAAAGTATACTCAATTCTTACATCTGTGGAAGGGCAGAGAGGACGTGCTCTTATGGAATGCCCACTATACTAGCAAATAAAACAGAAAACATTTCTGTGCTTGTAGAGCTTGGTTCTAGTGGGCTGGCAATTTAGAAATAAAAAGGAATTAAATTTTTTCTGTGATCTGTTGTCTTCTTATTCAAAACAAAGGGAGCACATATAATAATGTTGACAAATTTCAATTCTGGATATAGGATGTTTATTATTCTTTGTGATTTTCTGCATTTAAAGCATCTTCTAAAATATACATACATGTACATAAATGATCTCACACAATTCTAGAGAATCTCAAGCGATAGTTGCTATTTTTATTTTGGAATCAAAATATCTTTTAAATGGGGGGCTGGCCCAGTGGCGCAGCAGTTAAGTTTGCATGTTCTGCTTTGGTAGCTTGGGGTTCACCGGTCCGGATCCCAGGTGCAAACCTACACACTGCTCATCAAGCCATGCTATGGCAGGTGTCCCACATATAAAATAGAGGAAGATGGGCACGGATGTTAGCTCAGGGCCAGTCTTCCTCAGCAAAAAGAGGAGGACTGGTGGCAGATATTAGCTCAGGGCTAATCTTCCTAAAAATATACATACATATCTTTTAAATGAAGTTGATATAAAGCATCAAAAATAAGCTCTTCTCACAAACATCAATGTTTTGTTGAATATAAATAAGAATGTTCCTATTTTGGTCATATAGGATAACATCATTATTACAAGGATATGTTTTTGTAGAAAATTTTGAATGACTGGTACCTTACTATAATTCACAAATTTTCAAATCCATCTGTAAAGGTTCTAATTTAAAAGTTTAGAAATTCCTTGCTCAGGGGGCATTCTTATATTAATGGTCTGTGTCTACTCCACTTCCCCCATCTTTGCCGCTACAGGATATGATATTGTCGATTTGGAAAAAGAAGGAAAGAGAAAGAGAACCAGGCTTTTCAGTTAGAGGAATTAGAAATGGTGGGAGGAGAGGAACAGTAAGGAGTTTTTTTTTGGAAAATCGCTGAAAAGATGATTTTTTGTGTATTTTGCTGCTTAGGAATAATTTCTTTTCCCCAACTTCTCAAGCTTGCCCATTAGCTTTTTACAGTAGCCCAAGACCCAACTGTGACTGATTTCCAGATGCCATACGCTGTTTACTCATGAACTAAGATAACTGAGATGGGAGTTAATTTGAATACGCAGAGTCCTTAAGCAAAAATTAAAACCTTGTTTACTTCAGAAAGTGATGGGGTCTTTTTGTATAGTTTGGTAAGAATTACCTGTGGAATATATTTCTTCTTTATCTTTGGATGTTGACTAAACATGATAGCAGTCTTCACATAGGCTGTACACAGTTTAATTTATTGAAAGCTTTCATAAGTTTTTTTGGTTTTTTTAAAAATTTTATTGGGCTTATAGTGGTTTATAACATTGTATAATTTCAGGTGTACATTATTGTTTATCAATTCCTGAATACACTTCATCGTGCTCACCCCTAGTTGTCTAATTTTCATCCATCACCATACATATGTGCCCTTTGTCACTTTCGCCCACTCCCCAACCCCCTTCCCCTCTGGTAACCACTAATCTGTTCTCTTTATCCGTGTGTTTGTTTATCTTCCGCATATGAGTGAAATCATGCAGTATTTGTCTTTCTCTGTCTGGCTTATTTCACTTAACATCGTACCCTCAAGGTCTATCCATGTTGTTGTAAATGGGACAATTTTGCCTTTTTTATGGCTGAGTAGTATTCCAGTGTGTGTGTGTGTGTGTGTGTGTGTGTGTGTGTGTGTATGTGACATCTTCTTTATCCATTTATCTGAAGATCCTTTATCC